ACTTATCTTAAAGGTCCCTTATTATACTGTTTTTCATCAATATATATACACACACACACACACTCATCTCTTTCGACTCCACTTCGAGCGATAGAATTACTAACAAAGAATTGCTAACGAAGCACTTATATACTAATAAAGGACTGGTTTATCTAAAGCTAGTTGAGTAGCACTTGAAATGTTTTAGCTCTATGAAACCTGATGTACTTATATGATTCTGTTTTCTTCAAGTTTGTATCTTCTTGGTCGAATGCACTTATTGTAAGTCCCTTTGGATAAAAGCGTCAGCTAAATACAATGTAATGTAATATATTATAGGTCTCAGATATATACAAAACATGTCTCTGAAGTGTTTGGCTCAAAATACCAAACAGATCATTGTAGCATCCCATAAACCCCTCTGTTTCAGCCCTGTTTCAAAAGTGCTGATTCTCTGTCTGTTACTTTAAGATGAAAATAAGGAGCCCCTCCCCACGCCCCTCTGAGAGATATTTGTTTAAAAATAACTAGAGGAGATTCAGGTGATAAGGGAGGGGGGGGTTACCTTGGTTGGTTATGAGCTAATGGTTACACAAGCCAGAAAATCGTTATGACATCATAAAGTGGCCAAAATCTGATCAGCTCATTTTCAGACAGGTTTTTGTATAAATAGATCAGGAAAAAATGTGAGCGAATATTTTTTCCTGAAACTTTCAGAGTCTCTTTACACAGAGGAGACACATGTTTATTCATAAAATACATAAACATTTGGATTTTGCATAATAGGTGACCTTCAAGTTACATGATGAAACCTCTCTGACTCTGTGTGACTGATCCCCTCCTCTTCTCTCAGGTGTGTATGGGCAGAGGATCATCGGTGGTGATGTGGTACGAGCCAACTCCATCCCGTTTCAGGCCTCCCTGCTGTTCATGAACCACCACTTCTGTGGAGGCACCCTCATCAACCGGCAGTGGGTGGTGTCTGCTGCCCACTGCTGGAGACCGTAAGTTACTGCAGTGTTACAGTCCAGATACCAGAATGCTTGTGCACAATGGAAAGTGTACTCTCTGAAAGAATAGTTCACCCACAAGATGACACTTTATACATCAATGACTTACCCCTTGTTACACTGAATTATTCACTGAAAAAACTGAAACGTTGACTTTAATTAAAAGTGTTATGTCAACAAATGTCACATTGCTGTATTAGGTTAGAAACTAAATATATTACCTATATTTAAACTTAATATTGTTGCTTTCAACTAACCTAATACAATTATGTGAAATCTATGTTAAAATAAAAAAAATTCTGTGTTGCATACCTCCAAGTTTAACAAAGAATCACATAGGGACCATCAATTAATTATTATATTTATTAAACTAAATGCTTACCTGCCTAATTTTAGTACACATTAAACATGTATTATGTGATTCCAAATATTATTACAACACTGCAAAAATAAGCAACAACTGTTTTGTTGGGTTTTATGGGCTTCTAAGATATACACGGTCTAACACTGTTTGAGAGTTTGTTAGCGTATGATTTGATGTGATTTTGCTATAGTTAAATGTGGACCCGTATACTTCAATCCATCAAGATTTGGAAATTAACGTTATTTATTTAGTTAAGAATTCAAAGTAACATCGGGTAAGTGATGTACACATTTTAATAATGTGGGTGACGTAGTGCTTGAATATCTTGAAGCACATGCTGCACCTTGCATTCAAACCTAAAAGCTGTGTTGAAGAAATAGTAGAGGTCTATTTAACTTTGAAAGTAGTGTTAGATTTTCTAATCTATCGTTGCAAAATAAGCACCAAAACAAAAGTATTCTCCTTTGCCTTCTTCTTTGTTCGTTCAGGAGCCACATGATCCAAGTGGTCCTGGGGGAGCACAGCTTCAACACAGAGGAAGGCACTGAGCAGAGGTTCAGCGCCGCCTTAGTCGTTCGGCACTACATGTACCAACACTGGACGTTTGACAATGACATCATGCTGATTAAGGTGAGGGATGATTGAGGAAGATTGTGTTTTAATAAGATCCTACAGATTTTAGACACTGATTAGGTTACTGACTGACATTGGTGAGTCAGCAACCCGAAATTCAATTCTATATAAGTAGCACTACAAATCATTACATTACATTCAATAATAATAATAAATACAATTTATATCGCTCTTTTCTGGAACTCAAAGACGCTTTACAGTATGAGGGAGGGTAGGCAAACAAGGACAAGCAAAACAAACAACAAAACAAAACAAACAAAAAATAAAATACAAGAGATAGATTTCAAACGGAGTAGTCAACCAGTGGAGGTCAACATATTAAGATGTTTTGTGCTTTTACATTTAGTTTATTATCACTGATTTTATGTTGCATGAGGAATAAAAGTGTTACAAAAATTGATTTATTTTGAAACAAGAAAGAACAAAGCAGGATAGCGATACTAGAATTATGAAAACATTGATTTTACGAAATACATTTTTAATCTGAACTGATAGCTGCTTGAAAAGTTGTATTTTCTTACTTTCTATATATTAAAACATATAACTATAAAACAATTAGTCAAAGGAGTTTTTTCACTTAAACACACGTTCTGTTTTAGATGCTGATAATGCTTTAATAGGATATTATCGATAATAACTGGCAGCTATAGAGGTCAATGAAAAGGTAAAAGTAGAAGTATAAAGTCATATTTAAGAAGAGTACAAGTACCTCAATGATGTGCCTGTACTTGAAACTAAACAGTACTTGAGTAAATGTTACAACGTTTCACCACTCATTTTCACAGGCTGAGTGATAGTTAATGGAGTTTCCCATGATATGTGTAACCTCATCACTCAGCCTGTGACACAGTGGAAATGCTCTTTTGGTGACTACTATTCCACTCAGTCAATACTAATTCATTTGCTTATTATTCAAATGTTGGTGGCTTTCAATCCAACTGAATCCCCAGTGCACTGGAACACTTTTAAACTAGAAACCTTTTTGAAACGCACCTACGTTGAACCTTTCATGAACAATTAGCTTCACATTGATGTTCTCATTTATCCTTTTTGCGCACCACATTCAATGTATTCAATTTCATACAGTGTTTGTATGCAATTGCTGTGAAACATCAAACCATCACTCTACTTTGATGAAGTTTTGAACGGATGGACCTTGGATCCTTCATTGAAATGTTTTGTTGTCTTTAATACATTAGTTTTATATAAACATAAATACATTGCCTGAAAAAAGATCAGTAACATACACTACATGAGTGTAATTTAAAAGCAACAACCTTCTTTACTTACATTTGAATTTGAAATGGAAAGGTGCAATGCTTTGTCAGCATGAGCTTTCTGTGTTGACTGACTGAAGGATATGTTCTCTGTGGCTCAGTTGGACCGTCCAGCTGTCCTGAACTCCTGGGTCGGACTGGTCTCTTTGCCTGAGCCGGACTCACTGCCCCTGGCCAACCGCGCCCGGTGCACAGTCAGCGGCTGGGGCGTGACCTCGCTCAACAGCTACAGCCTGTCACCTGAACTGAGGTCTGTGGATGTGGACATGTTTAGAAACTGCTGGTACTACTACTACTTCAGGATCACAGAAAACATGATCTGTGCTGGATCTTACTCCGGGGGGAAAGACTCCTGTCAGGTGAGACATAATGTGTGTGTGTGTGTGTGTGTGTGTGTGTGTGTGTGTGTGTGTGTGTGTGTGTGTGTGTGTGTGTGTGTGTGTGTGTGTGTGTGTGTGTGTGTGTGTGTGTGTGTGTGTGTGTGTGTGTGTGTGTGTGTGTGTGTGTGTGTGTGTGTGTGTGTGTGTGTGTGTGTGTGTTTTAGAGATATAACTGTCTGTACTCTCATAGGAACACATCTTGCAGTAAATAAAGACAACATAAAACATCCACCCGTGGGGAAATTCAGTAGTTTAACAGCAACAGGTTAAGATTGAAAAACAGGACAGCACAGATTAATCAAATTAAGGATAAAATGAAAATTTAAAATGGTGAATAACTATAACATGAATTAAAATGAGCATGTATATTTAGTCATTACACATATTATTTACATGTGTGTGATCATGTAATACTGAACGTTACTTAATGTTATGCAATATTTTGAGTTCAAACCAAAGTAATGTTAATAATGCACTTTGATGATTAGATGTCACATTATGGTGAATTTTACTGCAAAAGTATTCACTACAATATTTCAGCCCTACCAGACCCACCGCCAAAATGTAAAACAAAAGACAGATTGCTGTTATGACTCACAAATTGAAAGACAGCAAAGAACAATTCATTGTTATGATAGTTCTTCACTTTTCTGATTCTGTTTCAGCCGCCTTTATAACTTTAAGTCTAGTATTAGTCATTAATAACTCTTCATGTAGCTCTGTTTTTGTCTCAATCAACTCTATAAAATAATAACCTGGATCTTAAGCTGATAATTGTCCCATTATGTTCACTAGCTTTTTCCGACGTTTCTGAAATCAAGAGCGGGTTTGCAGGCTAGAAAAAGAAGAATGTGTGTAGCTGGGTAACATGCAGACTTGGGTGGTCTCTCTCTTGACTCTTCACTATAACTAACCCTTTTCACATCCCTCATAGTCCTATGATCTATTTACATTGATGCATATTGATTAGTTCTGTTTAAAGGTTTTTACACCAACCATTTAGTAAGAAAACATGAACACCTTTTCAGCTTAGTCAGGAACAAAGAAACAAGCCTTTTTTGATTTTAAAACGTGTAACTTTTGACTCTTGTTCATCCTCAGGGTGACTCAGGAGGACCTCTGGTTTGTAACGGTAACCTTGAGGGCATTGTGTCTTGGGGCATTGGCTGTGCCTATTCTTACTACCCTGGCGTCTACACCAAGGTCAGTAACTACCTCGGATGGATCAACTGGGTCACCCAGAACAGATAATAAGACTGTCGATAACCAGCTTACCTAAGACTCTACTGTGATGAAGAATGGATGGACCATGGTATCCTTCATGGTACATTTGTTGTTGTCTTTAATACTATTGCTTTTATTAAAAACTAATAAATACGTTGGACTGAAAAAAAATACTGTAACATACCCATGAGTGTGAATGTTGTTTTTTATTCATTAGGTGAATATCACCTGAGCGATAAGACTAAGGTTGTTATGAAATAAACGTCTGACAGAAACTACTGCAACTAAATGCACTTTTTATATTAGAGCTGTTGCTGTATGCTACATCAATCAATCAATCAATCAATCAATCAATCAATCAATCAATCAATCAATCAATCAATGTTTATTCATATAGCCCAATATCACAAATGTTACATTTGTCTCAGTGGTCTTCAAAGTTTCTACAGAACAAACTGTGTTTGCACAGTTAGTTCTGTACAAACTGTGAAGACTACATGTTGCTACAGTGTTTGTAGTGCTCTCCAGAAATGATTTCAGTCCATGTCACAGGGTCTTGGCGATCATTTCAGGGATCATTTTGGTCCATTTGACTCTAATAGAAGCTGGATTTAACAATAAAGGCACATATTTTCTCAAATAGTCTACTCTGTTATTGGTCATCTAAAACACGTATAGGAACAAATATTAATAGTAATTTGATGTACAGACGGGTCACAGCATGTTATCTGAACTTGATTGTCATGTTTGCACATAATGTGCCAACAACAAAACCACCTCCCATTGACTCTATGACAGTATGTTGCCATCCTAGCCAGCTAGCCATTGATTGGTTGGGACCACACCCCTCTCCCCCTTCCCTCTGTCCCATTGCCATTTAAAGCTGAGCCACAATAGACTCACTGACTCACTCAAAAACAGCCTTACAGACCCCTAGGGCAATCATGGACCAAGTCAAGTCCAGCAGCACTGTGACGCATATTAACGACCAAGGCTCCAGACACTTGTCTCAAGAAGCAATAGAGAAGCTGATCCAACAGTCTCAGGAGGCCAAGCAGCATGCGTACTGTCCCTACAGCAAGTTCAGAGTGGGAGCTGCCCTCCTGACCATGGACAACACTGTTTTTAGAGGTAAGGTACAAGTTGGCCTTTGGATTGCTTGTTTAGAGTTAATATTTGGCATGAAGAATTCCAGTTTAATTAAACGACTGTTGAGTTTTAAGAGTGAAATCTGCATTCAAATGTTTTTCCCCTAATACTAATATTTGCCATTATCAGCAAGTAGACTTTAAAGAATATAATATATCTAAATGGATGTGTTGTAAAAGTCTAAAATGTCTTATCAGACCAATCAGATGTACCTGGTGTTTGAGTTTCTTCTGCTTTGGTGTTGAAACAGAACTTTATTAAACCCACACGATTTTTCAGTTAGTATCAGTTTCAATTTGCAGCACTGTTAATTATTACTGGACAACAGTCAGTCTGTGGAAAGGCCCGTCATTAAAACCATACTAGGATGAGTCTAAACCATTCCCATTGGTTGAATAAGGTATCAACCACTCTTTCCCATGAGATAAGGTGACCTTTTGACCTTGCGTCTCTTGCGTCTGCAGCATTACACTTACTGACAGGGATGGCAAATGATTGTCAACAATGAGGCAAAGACAGAACTCTCCTGTTCACGTTGCTGTTCTAGTTAAAGCTTACACAGTCACATTAACCCAAGCAGAAATGTCTGGGGGGCAAATAGTTAGCAAACAGGTCTGAGTGCAATGACCTGTTAACTGTTTGAACACGATAGAATAAGTAAACAGAGCCTCTTTTTATTACTTTGACATTTTGTTCAGAGGTTGAAGAAGTACTCAGATCTTGTTCTTAAGTATGAGGATAAGTACAAGAGTGTAGGAATACTCTGTTACAAGTAGAAGTCCTGCATTCAAAATGTTAGTCAAGAAAAAGTAGAAAAGTATTAGCATCAAAATATACTTCAAGTACCAACAGTTAAAGTACTCATTATGCAGATTGACCCATTCAAGAATAATATATATTTAATGTTTTGATTGTAATCATTGATGCTTTAAAGTGTTGGTAAAAGGTGCAGCTAGTTTTGATGACTTTGTATGCTGCAGGGTAGCTATGAATGAACTCCAGGTGTAACTAAATGTAAGTGTTGATCATATTGTGTATCATTCATCTATATCTGCAAAGTAACTAAAGGTACTGCGAGAATGTAGTGGAGTAAAAGTACAATATTTACCTCTGAGTTGTAGTGGGGTAGAAGTATGAAGTGGCATTAAATAGAAATACTCAAAAGTGCCTCAAAATTGTACTTAAGTACAGTCAGTACTTGAGTAAATCTACTTAGTTATTTTACACCACTGCTAATGTGTTAGTTTAATTTGAGTGAAGCAAATGCTCCTAAACTAACTAATGAGTGTCATTGTGTCCCTGGCAGGTTGCAATGTAGAGAATGCATGCTACAACTTGGGTGTGTGTGCTGAAAGGAATGCTATCTCAAAAGCGGTTTCTGAAGGCTACAGAAGTTTCAAGGCAATAGCAATTGCCAGGTAATTTCCACTCCTAAGTAATATGTGCATTTCCTGAATGTCAAGTTTGAACCCTCTCAGTCAGCATTCCTGTTTTATTGAACCATTACTCACTTTGTCTTTGCACGTCATTAAACTTCCCTTATTACTTAACACAAAGCAAGTCTGTCTGATGCATATCTTACACACCCAACAGTTGGTTGACTGACATGTGATGCAAGGTGGATTCAAGTCTCAGCACCATCAGAATCACGTTTAATGCTAGATACGTTTTCACGAGTTTGCTTTGGTGTATTAGTGCATAACACAAGCATAGTAAGATAAAAATGAGATTCAAAATAAATGCAAGTACAAAAAAAAAGAAGCCTAAATATAGAATAGAATCAAATTCAATTATGATAAAAATATGAAATCATAAATTGTACTTTATATCTGAAAAGGAACATGAATAAATACTATGAATTATTTACATCATTAGGCATTTGAAATTCAAAATAGAAGATGTATAAAATAAAGGAGTGTTAGTTTTTGAATGTGGGACATGTTTAGAGCTAAAGCAAGAAAACCAGAACAGATCAACATGAGAGGCATTGTGAAGTTTCATAGTCATCACACTGAGACACTTTGAGATGAGCATCAGGCTAAAAGGTCCTTCATTTCAACAATAAAACATTTCCCGGTAGTTTTATTTCCTAACTTCTTCGTGTCCTCATATGTTCTTTGCAGTGACCTAAAGGACCAGTTCATCTCGCCATGTGGGGGCTGCAGGCAATTCATAAGAGAGGTAAAACATCTGGGTTTTTAAGTCATGACCAATGACCATACACACACAACACCATAAAGAAGGGAGGCTTTGTGATCGAATTAGACAACTTTTAATATTTTCCTTTTTGCCGTTTCCTTCAGTTTGGTTTAAACTGTGATGTGTACCTGTCAAAGCCCGACGGCTCGCACCTGAAGTTGACGGTGGACGAGCTGCTGCCCGTCTCCTTCGGCCCCGAGGAGCTGGACATGAAGAAAGTGTTTTCATCTCCTTAAACAGTTTGAGCCTGTTTTGCCGCACAAAACACAAAGACATGTACTGTGTATAATGCACATGCTGCTGAAAATGTATTAATGTGTAGCAGTAGTTATATTTATGGAAAATATTTGTTCTTTTAGTATGCGCTGATTGTTATGTCAAATGATTAAAAGTTACCTAATGTATTCTGTAATATTATTTATACAATCTAGTATCTGGAGAATCCATTGTGCCTTGGTTACTTAATGCTGCCTTGCTGTAGATACCAACATTTCTTAATATGAAGAAGAATTAAGCAACAGTATGTATCATATCCACACATTTTAATAAATAAAATGTTTTAAAAGGCATTTCTTTTAATAATTTACACTTCATTTCTTACAGATGGATATACACACAAATGAAGGTCAAAGGACACACAAGAGGGAAAAGATGAGTTACAGTGTACTGCAAATATTATTTGTTTAGCAGCAAGTTATTCAATTACAGAGTAAAAGGGGGAGAGAGACAGGGTGAAGGGTTGAAGCTGCCAGTGCAAATTCACTTAACATTTGTTTGTGATATTAGGTCTACATATTCCATGCATTGACATTTACAGTGGTTTAAGGGCACAGCCTTAAAAAGGGCGAATATAATAAGATGGGATTTATCATTGCCCCCTGATTCAGAGAGATTTTTTATTAAAAAAGGTAAAACCAGCCCAAAATTAAAACAGCTAAAAGACAAAAAGGCAGATTTAATTTTGGGTACTACCCACTCAAAATCATATTCAACTTTATCAGAATTCAAACTTGGCAGACAGCATGTTAAATATGAAATCCCTACAACAGCAGCAGCAGCAGGACATGGCAACGTGGCTCTGAGCAGAAATCATCAGGAATAAAATATGTTTTTAATTATAAGCTCTTTTGGTAGATGAAATGTAGATAGTGTTATGTGACTACGTAATTATTGCTGCTAACAAAGCTCTATTCTCTATGTCTTGATGCTTGGAATAAAAAAAGTTTCTGTCAGATCAACAACAGCAATTGATAAATCAACAATAATCTCAACTGAAAGGTCCTAAAAGTTAAAAAAACAAACAAGAAAATCTAAAAACAAAAAATATATGTATTAATTCAGTGCATCAGGCTTAGTGTCCAAGCCTCTATTCGTATTAACCTGCTTCCACCTACTGTCAGAAGTAAATACTCATGATAGACGGCTCTCAAGCTTGAAAATGTGGTCAGGCTCGTGTCAAGTTTTAGAGGCTCTTGCTGTCCAAAGATACAAAGTAGAGCAAAAATAATTGCACTAATTCCAAGCTGCTAGATTTGTATCTAATGAATGTATGGAGACGAGAGGAGAAAAGAGGGGGAAAAAACACTGGGAACCAAAGTTAATGTGTCACATACATACATACATACATGGACACACAGCTAGCTATTACCATGAGGCTTCTGAGTAAGGTGTGTGTGTGTGTGTGTGTGTGTGTGTGTGTGTGTGTGTGTGTGTGTGTGTGTGT